GGCAACCCACTTGTAAACATGAACCAAGGAAAACCTTACAGAGCACAACTATGGCCCAATCGTTGTGCTGGAAATTAAGCCCCCTAGGTTGGAAGCCATTACAGCATGGACACAAAAAGTAAGCTCAAACACACCTACGATGATGAAGATAGTCCAGAACTGGGAAGCATTTTGTCCTTAATGTACATAAGCTCCCCTTTGAGTTGGAGACTATTCTTTGGCCACGACAGCAACCATTATCAAATAAACGCATGGCTCTGGGGACTTTCGAATCAGATGACCAAGCTAATAACTGGTGAGATTCAAGTGTTCTATACCTCACACACCCCTTTCTTTACTCTTAAATTTCAATCATGCGGGATATATTGCACCTAAAATCCTTTGGCACTTTTGCACATTGTCATTGTTAGAATGCCTTAGACCGAGCACAAGTCCTTACTAGATTATGATTTGGCATCTGTGCTGGTGTTTATTCGGTCTTTCATCCTGCATACTTGGACACCCCAGTGTCAAAGGTGAGTGTTGCCTCTCTTCTGTATACTATTGGTATTGTCCTTCCGTTCCCGTGCCTGCTTGTCACTCGTGCACACCCATTTAACGGTGATTTACAAACTGGACGATAGTCCCATAAGAAGAAATAGTGTTTCTTTCTAAAGGTTTCTCAAGCACCGCAGTTGTTCATGGCATGGTTTGTGGTCTCATTGAAACAGACCATGATCCCCTTTGTTCTTGTGCTGTGTGCTGTCGAAGCGGTTCGGCTCACCACCCAGCTGTCCTACGAAAGGTAAGAGAAGCATTCGCTAGGTGGCTGCTGACTCCCCCCTCTCACCCCAAGGAAATGCGACTCAATATTTGAGGGTAGTTTCTGTGATTGTTGTGAAGTCACTGTAACATCGCTCACTTATTAAAGGAGTAAAACGCTGTCATTAGAGGAAATTAGTTCATTAGCATCTTTAGCTGACAATCTGCTTTCTCAGCAATAGAATGTTACGAGACGATTATTCAGGTTGATGAAGAAAACAGCATGCAAATGTTAAATTATTGTGGTTAATTCCTTTCTTGTTATGGAGATAACTGTTGTCTAGTGTGGGTTTTAAATTTAGAAAACAACAACCCTTAAGGGATAGCAGTCTAGCTGGATTTTTTGGGGGGGGTGGGGCTTGTTTCTCAGAAATGCACTGGGCCATCTGGATATCCACATGCGAAAGAATATAGCTAATCCTTGTGTAGAAAAGAGTGGATATGCCAGGCCGGAGACAGCTGTCATCAGAAAGGCCTTCTTCAACTTTGGCCATTGGTTGGCCTGGGGGAACCTGATTTGGGGAGGGCTCTTACCATCCTGGTAGGAGCCCTGGTGGCTCAGAGGTGAAGTCCTTGGCTGATATCTGAAAGGTTGGCAGTTGGAACTCACCAGCGGCTCCATGGCAGAAAGATGGGGCAGCCTGCTTTTCCAAAGGCTACAGCCTTGGGCACCCTCGGGAGCAGTTCGACTCTGTCCTAGAGGGTCGCTATGAGTCAGAACAGACTGGACAGCAGGGTTTTCCTCCATCCCCTGATACACATGGTTCACTGCATCAGCACTGTGCAAACGATGTTCAGGCTGCCCATGCTCAACTGCTTCTCTCTTCTGGGGTCAGGAGTTGTGCGATACAGAGATCATTGACGGGGCCAGCCCAGATGAGCACTTTGGGCACTGAGTCTTTGAGGGCAGGTAGAATTTTGCAATATTCTTACTCATCGCTGGAGGCATGCTGTGAATCCCGTGAGAGGCAGCCCCCTGGATGTGTACAGCGTGGTTTCCTCTGGACTCTGCTCCACCTGCTTGTCTCTCTGCTGTGGCTACTGATCTGTGTGCTGGCATTGTAACCATCCACAGCTATGGGGATGACTGCTGGCAGTGGTTATGGGGCTAGCCACAAAATAAGCAGTTCGAAACCACCAGCCACTCTGCAGGAGGAAGATGCGGCTTTCTACTCCTGTAAAGAATTACAGCCTTGGAAACCCACGGGCAGTTCTGCCCTGTTCTGTAGTTGGAATTGACTTGATGCCAGTGAGTTTGGTTTTTTTCAGCTTGGCAAGGACAACTGTGTGCCCAAGGCCCGGGGCCTTTTAGTGACCCCTCCAACGTGGGTGTGAGCACTGGGATCCTTTCTTGCCATATACAAAAATTAACACAAAACAGAACTATGGACCTAAATGTCAGAGCTAAAACCGTAGAAAGAAAACATAGAAGTAAACCTTTGTTATTTTGGGGGTGGGGGAAGGTTAGATAAAGCCTTTTTAAGATATAACACCACAAGCCCAAGCAGCAAAGGACGCATATTTGATAAAAGACATTATCCATTTAACCTGTTTTGGAAAGATTTCAATTTATATAATCTGAAGTCAAAGGAGGGATTAGTATCACACCGTAAATTGTGAGAATCCAGTTTGCAGAAGGCTATGGATGACAATGGGAGCCCAAGATACGTTTTTTGGAACTACATAGGAAATAAGCCTCTGTCCATGATTGAGGGATGGGAGGAAAGTGGTTACTAAACAGAGTGCCCTGGACACATCTGACTTGGACAGTTAACACTTTTTCAGTTGATCCCCCCTCTGATGCATGCTGGACGTGAGCTGGTTTTCAACATTTTCTGTATTTTTGTTTGTTCATATTAGGGTTTATCTCAGAGGTGTTATGTCATTGGGGGAGGGGGGTCACCCTCTTGATGTTGTGTTATATGT